GAGAATTCGAAATTTTCATCAAAAACAAGTGTAGTAGGTACATGAATCTTCATCACATGATTGGCATCTATATTTAAACACTGTATAATTGAGTAGGATACATGTTGTATGTGCATTCTGAAAGCTTCGATTATTTGCATAATTAAAAGCTCCAATTGAACCGAGTACGACACAAGGAATGAACAGGATGCATGCACAACCACTTGCTAAATGTAGAACAATCGAAAAGAAATCACTAAACTATGATTTTGACATTTTTATTTTGTAGTTTTGAATATTTAATCTTGTTAATGGCTGAATATCTATCGAAATGTTTAATGGTAGACTTTCATGTTGCAAATGACGGCAGTACACTGGTGAGGTGTGGGTTTTCTTTTCATCAGATTGCAGACTTACACTCACACCCACACCCCACACTCAGAATCACTGGCGTGTGGATGTGGGTGCAGGTGTGTGCGAGTTTTCTTTTCGACGATCCCACAACGGCACCCAAACTCACAATCACACCCACGCCCTCCATCGGTTGCTGAATAGCAAGAGCTGAGACTAACAGATTGATTTGTCTTCTTCGTTAAGAGATAGGTCGATCTGTTTTCAGATTGATTAACGAGTCTTTTGATGCTCGTTGAGACATATACATGTGATTGCGCTTGTTTTAATTCACTGTGTATACCAGAGACACTAAAAGTCGATAAATAAATAAATAAAGGCGAAAAAGAAAAGAGAAAAGAAATGAGTACCTTATTATGATTTGAAAAGAGTGAATTTGATATATAATCCCGTCTCGAAGAAAGAAAAAGAACAAAAGAATAATTTTCTTCATATTGGCAAACAGGGTGTGGGGAAAAAATGAGAAAAAGTAAGAATTTGTTGTGTACATTCGAGATGTAATTGTGTTAACTGTCGTACAAAAGTGACCTAACTTGTTTTCACAACAATATATAAAAATTGCATTGAGACATTTTGGATTGTCACACCAATTATATTAATTCCTATCAATTATTCAGGAAACGTTAATATTTCATTTGAAAATAGATTGCATCATTAATCGAATTTTCACAATCAAAAACATTTTAGAGCAGTTCGCTGATGGCCAATAAATCATCTGAAGTTCTTAATTATTTCAAATTAGAATTATTAATTGAACGGTCACTCGTTTCACTCCGTCATTTGTTTAAAAATCGTTATGCATTATTCAACAATGGTCAAGTTTGGAATGATTCACCAACATGTGGAAACAATTATGTAACCAATGTGCTTGTGAAAAACAAGAAAATTAATTTAACACGTGTACAAAAGACATCTGTTTCTAATGGAAATTCAGATGAATGGGATGTTTCAACTCTAACTGCTCTTCTATTATATATTGATCGTTCAAAAACATTAAGCACAAACGAAATACAACAACTTGATCAGGAAGATAAACTTTTGCAACAATTAAGAGGCATTCGAAATAACATAACTCACAGTCCAAAAAAATCTGTTGAGGATGCACAATTCAATCAATTATGGACTGATTTAGCAGCAATTCTGATTGCGTTTGGCGATGTTGGCACAGAATTAGATAAACTAAAAGATGATAGTGTGTTTGAATCTCCTAAACAACCAGTAAATGAAGAAAATATGAAAGATGCATTGCGTTTAAATTCACTAGGTACACAAGCTCATAAAGATGGAAAGTATTCTGAAGCAGTAACATTCTTTATTAAAGCAACAATTTTACCAGATGTTTCAAATCATGATCGAGCCACTTTTTATTCGAATATGGCCGCGAGTCGTTTAGCATTACATGAACAACAGAAAGCTTCTTTCATCGAATTTGAATCTCTTGATGCAGAAGATGAACGATATCTTGCACTGCAAGATGCTAAACAAGCAAGAAATCTTTGGCCAACATGGTGGAAGGTACATTTTCGCGTTGGAAAAGTTCGTGCTGCTTTAGATGAACATAAAAAAGCAATTAATTCGTTTGAACGAGCATTTGCACTTGATCATACGAAAAAGGAGATACAAGAAGCATTGGATGAAAGTCGTATAATCTTAAGTCGACAATCGCGACCAAAATATCTAGATTCAACTCAGTTCACGAAAGCAATTCCTGAAATTTTGAATGAACTACAACAAAAATTGGGTACAGATCCAGAAATGGTGAGAAAATATCATAGTTTAATCGAGAAAATAGATTCATCACGAGCTGACGTGTTGAAAGGACATAAGTATGCACTTGGAGATATTGATGTTAAACAAGACTATGAGCAAGCTGCTAAATATTTTGCTAAAGCAGTAGACCAAGGCAACGCCGAAGGAATGTACAATTTAGCTCGATTAACTGATTATGGCTTAGGTGTAAAAAAAGACCATAATTTGGCTCTTAAACTACTTGAGCAAGCAGCCGCGCAACCACCACAAAATTCCATATGTGAACAGTTTCCAAATGTTGGTGTAGCCGAATCTGAGCATGCTTTAGGAGTTAGATACTTCGAAGGCATTGCCGTTCGCAAGGATCTATCAGTAGCTTTCTACTGGTATCAACGTGCCACTGATCATGGGAGTGCCATGGCTGCCAACAATTTAGGTTCAATGTATCTAGATGGTCTTGCTGTTGACAGAGATCTTGAAAAAGCTGAGGAATTATTTGTATTGGGAGCAAGAAGAGGAGATCCACTTGCAATGATGACCTTAGCAGAACTTTTGTTGTCTAAAAATAATTTTCAAATGGCAAAAATTTGGTATGATCGAGCATGTGAATCAGGCAATCTTGTAGCTCAAGAGAATCGTGATCAGTTTGCAAAACAAATAGAAAAACGTCAACAATTAATAAGTGAAAGTTCAGGGAATGAATTGGAAGACGTTAATGTAATGCAATATTTCATGGGCTTATATCAAGCTAAGCATGCTCCATCGGTAATATCTGATCGTTCATACTTAAAAGATTATACGATGCTAAGTGAACATGCCAAACGTGGTTCAATAACGGCTAAACAACTTTGCGATGCTGTGGGCCATTTTGAACGCGCGCTAAACATACTCTTGCGTTTTGAACGTTTAGCAGAAGAACAAGAAGACACTTTTGTCCATGAACTTTCACAATGCTATCGTATTGAAAATATTGTAGCTCAGATTCCATGTCAACTGCATAAACGCGTTAGCGAAGTGGTTGATCGAGTACTTTACCGATGTACTAAAGAATCGAATTCTGTTGCTTCACAACTCGATGAAGATGTTCGAGTGTGTTACGTTACATTACATATAAATTCATATGAATTAATTGATGAATTTCTTCCTTTGTGTAAACAAAAGTATCCAAAGTCAGTCTATTTCTTCCTAACAAGCGGCGCAGTTAATGGGTTTCTACGTCGGCTTGAAATCGGTTTGTATAATATTAACAATGGACTTGAGATAGAGCCAGACAATTGCGAACTTTTGTACCATAAAGCTGTTCTGTTGCGTCACTTAGGTAGAGATATCGATGAAGCGATCACAGCCTATCAAAAATTTCTCAGCGTTGCTCCAAAAGATCATCGCAAAGTTCCCGAAGTATATTATGAAATGGCTATCTGCTATATGCTAGGTTATACACCCGATCTTGCAATAGACAGGATGATGAAACTTTATATGGAAGGCAAACAGGCAGAGAAATTGCAATTGCCATGTTTTTTGCCTTATAAATCAGAGAACATTGCATATTTAAAGCCCATGTGTGATATGGAATTTATACAAAATATAAAATCAGTTCCTGATAATAATCGAAAACAACATCTTACTGATCCTCATAGAGTGGAAGTTATTAGAAAGCATCGTCAATGGGAGGGAAAAGCATTACAAGAAAAACATAATTCAGGTTATACGGTTGTCTCCTCCACTCGCAAACCTCGAGTTAAACAACAAACAGCCAAATCCTTAATTGGCTTGAATCCAATTACATTAAGAGAAATAGATGCAACAAAAGATCAAGTTTATAATGGATATGTGCTTTCTGCAACAATCATTGAAGAAACATACTCATGGACTCCATCAATTCACCTAGTAATTGAAGACGAAAATTTTGATTGTGAGCGAATGCTCGTTTATGGTTTTCCTAAAAAACAAGGCGAATACTTGATTAGTAAATTGTACACTATTGGAAGTAAAATACATATTATCAATCCATATTTACGAATAGGAGCCAATGATATGAAGCCTACGATTCGTGTTGATGAATTGTCTTCTGTTGTAATGCAAAGTGAATCTGAACGGATATTGAATATGTGCCGATATTGTTGCGAAGCAAATGCATCTAAGATGTGTAGCAAATGTCATCAAGCTCATTATTGTTCAAAAGAATGTCAAATCATGGGCTGGAAATTATATCAGCATAAACTTATTTGTCAAAATAAATGAATACGATGCATGAATCATACTTTGTTATAACTATCTAGTTCCATGTAATTTAGTCAATAACTACAAATTATAATGAATGAAACATTTGTTTACTTAAAATACAAAGATTTAGGTTGCCTTGACGATTAATAAAACTTTTTTTTTATCTCTTTCTAAATATTCAGTGCACTGTAAAAGTGGATAAAACCGCTTTTGCACAAGGGGTGATGGGGGAGGGGCGTCCATAATTATGCTACAGTTATTTTTCAGCTTCCTTAAGCTATTTTTTCCAATAACAAGGAACGAAAGGGAAAGATTTTGGGAGTAGGTAGTGCGTGGATGCTCCCATGTAAGCATATCATTAGCAAATCAATATTGTTAATCATGGAAATAAAAGAAACCATTTTGTCTGTATCTGCAAGGGGTTCTATAATTTTGTCACGCCTGTATTTATTACTATTAAGTGGCCTAATAGGCATTTACTCAAACAAATCGAATGATGGAATAAATTCGATGAAAATATTAATTTGTCTGTGAATATTGGTTCAACTGCTAATTTTCTTGGTCTACATATGGAAAATTAGAATGGTCAATTCTTTACGAGAATCTACCAGAAGCCATCTTATGAGTCATATTATTTGCTATTTTTAATAGAATTCATCCATTAAATATGAAGATAAATCTACTTTTGCTATGTATCTCCGTTCTTTAAGATATTGCTCTACATTTCAACCGTATATAAGTCAACAAGTAATTGATACTCATTTTAAACAAAAATTATCAATAGATTATGAAGGACATATATGTTCATTCATTTTACATATTGTGAAAATGTGAAGATATTTTCAACGAGATTTCATACTCTATGGTCCAAGTACTTCGGATAATCTCCAATTAATGATATCACATCAGCCCTTGGTACTCAAAATGTCGATAATCTGCAAACACGGCTAATACATACTAAATGAAGAAGTTAACTTCTATTTACATTACAACGAATCGATTACTCTTTATTTTTATAAATCAAAATAAATCCGTTTATGTCTGAATATTTTAATGGTATTTAAACATTTTTTTTTTGGTATTGAGATATAATTAAAATTAAAATAAACTCGTATATGATTCAATAATTCTTAATGAATTTTATTTAAAGATGATATCATCTGAATTATCTACTCGGCTGATTAATTACTGAGTATTTAAATTACAGATTGAATTGAAAAAGAAGGCAATAACTTAGCGACTTTTTATTTATGAAATCTAATCTTGTTATAAAATTGCCACAATATTTTTCTATTGAACTTACCAGATCAAACTAGAAGCAGTGTTAATTTTTTATCACTAATTATCTTATTAACCCATGCTCCGATGAATAAAAAAAATAAAACAGTACTTTACTCAAACATCAAACATTTACAGCTTGCGAAAAGATAAGAACCAGTACGTTTATACCCAAAGAGTTTATTGAATGTTTAATCAAAGATTAACACAAAAAGAAGCAATTAATATTAGTCAACATCATCTTGGTATAATTCCAAAACGAGCACGTACAATGGAATATATATCGCACCAAAACAAACTCGTATACCACGAAAATATATTCCAAAGTCGTATAAACCTTATTTTCGATTAAATAGGCACTATCATGAAGTTGGTTTTAACATTGAAAATATTTAAAAGATAAATCCAAACGACGACAACAAAATGTTGGGCTTAAATACTAAATTAAAACCATGGAACGGACAACATATTATAACGAACCCGTGCAAAACAATATCCGTCTATTTCAACACAACCCGTTCCGTTGAAACTGCGAACGAATAAAGCCGTTAACAACATGACTGGGAAACGAGTACGTACCATCGAATATCACTAACCTACTAACTATATATATTCACATCCAAAGAGCTTATCAAAACTTCAGTCATTATCCCTGCGTGTGTAATATTTTTAATTTGTATTTGTTTCTTTGTTTTTTGTTCCCCTTTCGATTGTCGCTTTTGGTTTTGTTAATCTGTTTTATTTCTTTATCAGCTGTGCTAGTTTTAATATGTAGAGACCTCATGAGTGTTTTATTATTTGATTCAATAAATAGCACGAAACGCGTCGGTGACATTAAACTACAATTTATTTAATTATTTCATACATCTAGCACATGAATTATTAATTATACTTATAATTGAAATTCGACTTTAATCGGTTACTGAAAAGCAAGAGTTGAGACTAGCAGATTGATTCGTCTTTTCGATAAGAGATATATTGCTCTGTTTTTTAAATATTTATTTCATTGATTCGCTTTAATCTTATGCAGTACAGTTTACACTACTCATGAGTGTGTTCAATGGCATCTCGGGTAAGACTTTAGCTGTTATGTCCAAACTTTGTTTTACGAGGGCTAGCTTTTCCTCACTGACCATAGCAACAGGCATATTCTTCAGTAGACTCTCTTCTTGCGTCAATGCCTTGTAAACTTCATTTAGTGGACCAATCAATAAGTCAAAATTAATCAGATCATTTATTGTCGTGTAGAGAACCGCCGAGGCATCCAAGACTTTTGTAATGTGACTGGTAACCATTTTCAAGTCCTGATTAATTTGTGCTGAGGTATCATACATTTCTCGAAGAATAATCAAGTTTAAGTGTAATTCTTGCAGTTGTGCTTGAAAATCACGTAGATGTTTCTCTGAATTAGACTTTCCACTTTGTAAAGATGATAGTTGTAGTCGAACACGATTGAGCTGTCCCTGTGCTTCTCGGAGGTGTCGTTCTGCGTTGCTACGCGCATCTTTGGCACTGTCAATACCACCAGCATTTATGATAGAGCAAATTGGTCTCACAATCAATGCATTAAATGCCCTTTTGATTCCGCGCCATGCTCTTCGAAAAAATCGTTTCCGTCGTCGTCTTCTCCCAAAGCAATTTCGAGCTTTATTAACTTTTTCTTGTGCAATACGAACAGCATGCTCTGCACTAGCCAGCCCTTGCTCTTTATCTCTCACACCTTGTTCAGCAGTAGCCACCTGGCGTTGAACATTATCGATTTCGATGGACTTTCCCTGAATTTCACCTTCTTTTCTTGATACTTCCCTTTCTTTGGCACTGATAGCAGCAGCAGCATCGACAAGTTTTCGATTAACTTCAATCCGAATCATATGACTACCATTGACAGCTGAATTAATTGCATTACGAACAAATTGTACAGCACAAGTTAAATTTGAGACAAGTTTACTAACAGTTTCCTCATTGTCTGTAGAAATGTTTCTCAAGAATGGATTCAACACGTCTTCTTGCAGGGCTGTGTACGCTTCTTTGTATGGAGGTACGACTAACTCTAACAATCTCATATCATACCATGTCTTCGTAATACTCTGGCATTGGATGAAAGTACCATGGAATATAAAAAACAGGGCGACTAAGATGAGTTTCATTTGATGAGTGTCGCTGTAAGATTATTTTCAGCAAATAATCCAACTCAGTCTAATGTCTGCCGATTGCTACCGTTTTATACTCATTGAATTCTGCATATAAATGTAGATAAATAATTATCATATTCATTTTTTTTCTTTTTCCCCTTTTCCAACATAATTTTGTATAACTCTTCATGCATTNACCATGAAATATAAAAAACAGGGCGACTAAGATGAGTTTCATTTGATGAGTGTCGCTGTAAGATTATTTTCAGCAAATAATCCAACTCAGTCTAATGTCTACCGATTGCTACCGTTTTATACTCATTGAATTCTGCATATAAATGTAGATAAATAATTATCATATTCATTTTTTTTCTTTTTCCCCTTTTCCAACATAATTTTGTATAACTCTTCATGCATTATGCGTGCAATCAGCTGAATGTAATCTATACAATTAACCAGATAGGCAAGAAAAGTTATTATTATGTAGTGGACCTTTTTCAATGAACTATTTTCGTAATTTATTCAATTTTTTTTTCGTAGTAAATCAAGGTGAACAAGGGCCTTGCTCTTACCATTTCCTCTCATTTAGAGTTTTTATGTTAAGAATATGCAAATTACTAATTTAATAGAAACGATTGAGTTTTGAGTGAAATTCGAAATAATTGCACTGTAATCTGAAGAAAAATACCGCTCTCTATCCAGAATAGATTCGAATTTTTTCTTCGTGAGTTTGCATAATTTATATATGCTTTTTTCTTACCCAAATCCACAAGACCGTTGTAAAACGGCGCCGTTATCCGTCGTATCAGATTACGGAAGCAAAACCTGGAAGAAACGATGGCAGTTTTCTAGTGAAAAAGAACGGCTTGTAATCTGGTATGATGGATTGCGACGAAATACGATGAAAATTCATGCAGTAGTTCGCCGGTTTATAGCCGTTTCAGGTAGTCGGAATGATCCGCCTGGGTATTGTCTTATTTGCTTCATAAAAGCCTATAAATTTGTGAAATTGAATACCTTCGTGGACATTGTAATCGGTAGAACGCTAAATATCCTGTTTATTACTGTAAGAATTCCATTAAGAATATTTCTCATTGTTGTACTTTCATTCGAGCCAATTGATTGCTGATACGAATAGTTCCAGTGGCAAGCAATTTACAAAACACGATGCTAAAAAATTAGAACGAAGCAAGTATGAATTAGTGAACTTGAAATCTAATATGTTTACCACGAGATAAATACATATGTGAATGGAAATTGAACAAGTCCGGGACGAAATCGTTTGAAATTGTGTCAATGATATTGAATCTATTGACTTTAGAAGAAATTTTCATACAATAGAAAATAGATTGAAACCGAGGACAAGTAATTATAAAGAATAATGCAAACAATTATTCGTAGATGAATGTTGTATAATAGGAAAACTGTCAAATTCATAGAAATTAGTCAATGCATATCAAATTATGAGAGATAATGATTGAAAGACAATACAGTGTAATTTACGGGAAAGGTATAATCAAATTAACTGTCTTACTGCGTAGACTATAAGGAGGATTATATGAAAAAAACAATTTTGGTTTGTTTGTTTGTTTGTTTGTGGAGGTAAAAATGTAGCCCGATAAGTAAGATAAGATCTTATCACTTTTGTCACTGCAGCATATTTCTATCTGAGTTTTCAGCATGAGAAATCTTTCTGAAGTAACTAATGATATTTTATAAACGCTTGTCAACGCGAAAGTCGAGGATGATCATTTCGTATAGTGAATCAGAAATTTTATGCGACTGCTTGAATGGGTTAACAGTTGATCACTCAAATATTAACTGATGGCTTGCAGTAAACAGCTGACCCGATCATAGAGAAAGTGTTTTTCAATGTCTGTTTACATCTAAGAACATCAACAAAGAAGATTCAATAATAAGTTGTCTTGTGCATAATGTTGATGCAGTCATGATCTGAATAAAAAAAAATCTGAAACATTTATGAATGCTTGTTTGCTTATTTAATGGTTTAAAATTAACTGGAGCAACATGATAGTCATGAGTGACACCTCAACAGGGATGCCGAAAGTCAACGAAAGCGCCTTTGAATATAACTGTGGTGGTTTGGTTTGGGTATGTTTACTGTGGTTATCATTCGTAAAGTATTAAATAAAATGAATGAATGTTATGGCAATTATAAATACAACAATATGCATGACACGCCGACATACATCTGGTTTTTAATGTCTGAATCCACATATACTCCCCTAAAAACGTCAGATGGTCACTCTTTCAAGAGGTGTGAAGCAGAAAAAAGTATTGAGCAGTCAGATATTCAGTCAAGGGATAAGCGAGTCACGCCAGCAAACATTACTTTCGCATGAAATTTGTCTAAGCTTCATTTACAGTACAGTGCCATACATTACGTAGGTGATTAAGACTGAAAGTGAGCGTGTGAGTGTAAATAAATAGCACCAACTCAAAGTCTTTAAAAACTACATAAATGTATAATGGAATACAAATGGATCTGAGAGAGAACAATCGAATGTAGGGTGAACTTTACCCAGGTTCACAATAGTCAAAAAAAAACGAATACAATACTACATTTATCTAAGCTATACATAGTTCTTCAGGCGATTTGCATTCTAGAAGGTTTGTTTCACATTTCGGACCCTCAAGTAAATATTTGTTCCTTTCATTCAGTTGTACATAATTGAGTTATTCGAAAATAATCAATAAAAACATGCACATGCTTGTATTAAATAATCCATGATGATTTATTACCGTTGGTGTAGTAATGAAAAATCTAAGATTTCGCGCAGCTGCAACGATATGGCTATTAATCTATCATTGTATTTTTTAACCCTTCAGATCCAATCTATTAGCGAATGATAAACATTTTTCAATGTTGTTTTCAAATCATCGGAGATATACGATAATATTATTGGTTCTGTCCCTTCTTTCACACAATCTTCTTGTTTTCTCCTGAGTGTTTTCCAGTTTCTCTTACTGAACTCTACTGTTATTCTTTTCCCCCCATCTATTTCATAAGCTGAATAAACTCATATTTTATTTCTTTTATTGAGTCTCAAAATATGACAAAATCAATAGCATAAGAACTTCTGGAATCGAAAGTGCTAACTTCATTGAATCTTTTTAATCTTGTACAGTACAGTTTACACTGCTTATAAACAAATTCAATGGCATTTGTGGTATTAATTTAGCAGTTGTTTTAAAACTATGCTTTACTTGAGTTAGCGTTAAATCACTGACCATACTGAAAGGGATATTTTGTAATAGGTGCTTTCTTTCGAATACCTTGTAAACTTCATTTAGTGGATTAATCAGTCTGTCAAAATTCATAAGATCGTTTATTGTTGTATATAAAAGTTCTGATCCGCTCCAGATTTTTGTAATATGACTGGTAACCATTTTTAAGTCCTGGCTGATGGTTGCTGTTGAATTATTTAATTCATGCAGAACTATATAAGTTAATTGTAATTCGCGTAATTCATGTTGCAAAGCACTGAGCTCTTTTTTTGAATTATTTTGTTGACCTTGTAACGATGATAATTGTTGTCGCTCATCATCAATTTTGATTTGTGAATTTTGGAGATTTTCTTCTGCATTGTGAAGTGCACGGTCAGCATTCTCGATTTTCACCGAGTTGACGATATTACCGCAATCTGATATTGCAGAAAAAACAACAGATTTCCGGCGTTGCTTTTTAAACAAGCAGTCTTCGACATAATCAACCTTTTCTTGCACAGTATGAACATTATTCTCCGCATTAATAACCCCCTGTTCTTTTTCGTTCACACCCTGCTCATCTGTTGCCACCTGCGCTTTAACAACTTTGATTTCGGACGCTTCGTGCTGAATTTCACCTTGCGTGCTTGATATTTCCCTTTCTTTGGCACTGATAGCAGCAGCAGCATCGACACGTTTTTGATCAACTTCACTTCGGAGTTTTTGACTGCTATTAATAGCTGCATTCAATGCACCGCGGATATATTGAACAGCGCAGGTTAAATCCGAGATCACTTCCTTAGTAGCTGTCTCATTATCTGTAGAAAGGTCTTTCAAGAATGGATTCACAATATATTGTTGTAAAATAGTATAAGCTGCTTTGTATGGAGGTACGACTAACTCTAACAATCTCATATCATACCATGTCTTCGTAATGTCCTGACATTGGATGAAAGTACCATGAAATATAAAAAACAGGGCGACTAAGATGAGTTTCATTTGATGAGTGTCGCTGTAAGATTATTTTCAGCAAATAATCCAACTCAGTCTAATGTCTACCGATTGCTACCGTTTTATACTCATTGAATTCTGCATATAAATGTAGATAAATAATTATCATATTCATTTTTTTTCTTTTTCCCCTTTTCCAACATAATTTTGTATAACTCTTCATGCATTATGCGTGCAATCAGCTGAATGTAATCTATACAATTAACCAGATAGGCAAGAAAAGTTATTATTATGTAGTGGACCTTTTTCAATGAACTATTTTCGTAATTTATTCAATTTTTTTTTCGTAGTAAATCAAGGTGAACAAGGGCCTTGCTCTTACCATTTCCTCTCATTTAGAGTTTTTATGTTAAGAATATGCAAATTACTAATTTAATAGAAACGATTGAGTTTTGAGTGAAATTCGAAATAATTGCACTGTAATCTGAAGAAAAATATCACTCTCTATCCAGAATAGATTCGAATTTTTTCTTCGTGAGTTTGCATAATTTATACATGCTTTCTTGTTATTGCCCGATTCGCTTAATGAAAACCTATAAATTTGTGAAATCGAGTACTTTCGTGCACATTTTAATCGGCGAAACGCTAAATATCTTGTTTATTACAGTAAGAATTTCATTAAGAATATTTCTCATTGTTGCATTTTTATTCGAACCAATTGATTACAAGCAAAAATGACATCGTAGAATATCCTATTAACAAAAGTGTAGTAACCACAATCGGCATGGCTTAACAGTATGTTTAGACTGTGGCATTTAGAATTTGAAGACCAGATGTGATCAGCGCACAATACAATGAAGAAAAATGAGAAACTTTAGATTCCAAAGAGCATAGAAAGAGTTATTAGCAACTGAAGAACGTTTCATTGATACGCAACATGATTTCAGATTAGTAAAAACATGCATGCCTACCTACAGAAGAACTATATAGAAAGTGATTAGGGTGTGATGTTGGACGAAACATAATTACTCAATTATTTTAAATATTTATGTTTCCATTCATGAGTTTCAGGAAAGTTGAGAATACCAATCTCTCAGTGTTTTATCGGAAAACGATTGGATGAATATTCAATCATGTTTACTTTACAGAAAATATATGAATAATCGGTAATTTTGCTTTGCATTTTAGATTATTGAAGTCTTCAGAATGGTTGATCCATTGATCAGAAGCAAGTTCTCATTTGAGTTAATATGATTATTATTTAAATCATTTCTCTTCTCCATTCTAGATTGTTGGATACTTCTGTTACTACTAAACGTTGCAAAACTAGTTTTGCTACAAGCAACCATCACAATAGCACCGTTTTCTCTATCGAGAGCTGTTTTTCTACCACCTGATCCAAGAGTAAACCCATTCTTTGATCACTCTATTGATGGGTTAGCTGATGTCCAAATTGGAAGAAGTCTTAAAGCAAGTATGCGCTACGTTTACTATTCTGAATTCCGATTGAATCAATTTCTAACTTTTTTCCAGATAATCAAACGGGTGCTGGAGACCTGTTTCGACAGGAAACAGATCAACAGATTATTACTCAAACAGGTATTGATTATCCTTGGCAACAATTTGTTTCAGCAGGTCCTATGGCAATCAATATTCTTGGTCAGCTTATCGTTATCTCATCAAAAACAGATTTTTCATTCAGAGATAGTAATCAGAATTATCAATTCAAATACATGCGTCATCCACAATCGTTCCGTGCTACACTCATTCAAATTGCAAACGATGGTTACGAGGCGTTTAGTGAAGCACATAGTTCAATGAATCAAATTCAAATCTACATGTCATTAATACCTGGTCATGTCAAGACTTCCTTGAGAATTCTTGTTTCTGCTTCACCACGTCTTCTAGAAAGACTGCTCGTACCATCGCTCAATAATATTGATCGGATTGGACGTGAATGTTCAACATTAGCATCCAATACTCACAATCAATTTGTTAATGTTATGCAATTATTGGGGGAAGTAATCGAAGTTACAACACTGACACAAGGTATTCATGTACAGAAACTGAAAGACGTTGAAATTGAATTGAACATATCACGTGTCATGGAAAAGCAACAACAACAAATTATTGAAACAGTTCAAAAACATTACAATGAAGCTCAAGCAAGTGTAAGAGAATCACAAGCTGCTTATACAAAAGCATTGCAGGATCTGCCCACAGGATGGAATAAAATCTTACAAAATTTTGTTCAAGCAATTATTGATGTTGCTCGTGACGTTGTACCAGTGCTTATTACAGGAGGTGCATCATTGGTGACTGGCCAACAAATACAAGGACCACAGGGATCTGGTGCTCAAGGATCAGGCGGTACTAGAAGTATTGGAGAAAAAATTGCTTCAGGTCAAGCACTATCCGCTGCTAATATGTTATTTGATCAACTGACCTCAATGCAGAAAACATTTGAAGAATCAAATACAACTGATTTACGGGTTCTTGGAAAAGATTTTGGTAATTACCGCATCGTTTTCAATACAGCAAAAGATCTTGTCAAAGGTGACGGCGAATTGTCGCAAAAAGTTGGAGAACTTCTCAGATCAGCGACTGATCTTACAAATTTGGAAGATGTTGAAAAAATTAAAAGTAAATTAAATGGCTTAATTAGTGAAACAAAACCATTGGTTGCTGCGAATGCAAAGGGCTCAGATCAAGCTCCTAAACTCGATCTATCACCAGAAACACCATCACAGCCATCTTCAAGTGGTGGCAAATACGATAATGAGAAATTCAAAATTACAATGACTCTAGACCGTTTAAAACAAGCTGAACAACGTTATGATCAAATATTTAGTCAATTGCTTGAACAGCAAAAAGAGATGAAAGCTTTAATGGTCAAAATTGCAGGCTTAAATATGGCAAAAATTAGATTTGAAGAGCTCATAGAATTGATGCGTCAAGCTATTCTGTTATTAGGAAATATTCGCCAACAATGGGGTCGTCTTGTTCAATTCTTCTCTGAGATATCTATCAGAACACGAATTGCAACAAATGAGACTTTAGTGCCGTTTGTTAATCGTATGAAAGAAGTGGCATCGATTCAAGATATTACACAATCTGAACGAATGCTCTATGTTGATCTATTAAAAGAACAAGCTGTTGATATTCACCGGCATACTTATGTCCTCTATGTCATGTCACGCACCTATGTTGACATCTCAAATGAATTCATGATGGATAAATTAAGTGGTTTGGCAACTATGTTGACAATGCAAACAGATTCTGAACGAGAACAAGCTTTAAGAAAATTAGATAAAGATACAAATACAGCACAAGCCAAAGTAGAAGCTTTAGCTAATGAACGTAAAAGAACGTTTGAAGCAGCATTGACGAAACGAAAAAATGACTTACAGAAGTATCTTGACAATCTTGGTGGTGCATCAAAAGAAGATCTGGATGCAATCAAACAAGCAGATGGCTTATTAAAACTCACATAAAAATTCACAATTACCTTTTCCTCTATGACATTTTTTTCTTCGCTCTACTGGAACTTCATAAGCAAATTGAAAAGGCTTAATTTATAACACTATCTTCCGAGCTAAAATTTATTTGTCACCGAGCATGTAAAACTTGTACCAAATGAGGGGGCGATAAGATTGGAAATCGGCGCATGACAAATACGCTCTCATCCCCTTATAGAATGCTTGCTAACGAAGTAAAACAAGTGTTTTCAATGAAATTCATCCAAAAAAGTCTGATATTTCGTCTCCAGCGTAGCCATCAGCGAACAGATTTTTTTGATCCTGCTTTTGATAGCAATTCATAGCCATTTAATCACAAATACACTGAAACGCGTCGAGTTATGCATCAGACGAAAGCTCTTTTTTGAGGACTTTCTAAGGGTGCCAAAACATGCTCGAAAAATCCTTGATCTGAGGGTGAACCCAAGCGCACAATGAGCCAGCGTCTATACTAAAACGTGGTTTTCAAGATCGTTATATGTTTGAAACTAATTAGGTTTTTTATCAGTGGAAGTAAGCTTAATAAGAAAGAATTCGCGTTCTAGGAATAGTCGAGGGAAGAACATAGGATTAGAGTATCAGAGTGATAACTTGAGGGTGTGGGTGTGGATATGTGCTTTATCCACGCTCGCATCCACACACACACACACACACACACACACAAACAATATCTTGTTTAGATATAGTCTGAGATATACTCTGCTTGCATTACTCTGTTCACAATCTTGCTTCATTTATTTTACATTGCTAGAACCTCTCCATTCATTTTTTACTTTAATCATACTGCACTTTCGTTCGTTTGGCTCCAATCACATTCTTTCATTTTTTCCTCCACTTGATCCACGCTCTACTTCTGTTGTTTTACTGTTACAGCAATTATTATTTCACCTTCATTTTGTTTTCTGCAGTATCCACACTCTATTTCTATCTACTTTACACTTCTTTTATTCTATACCTTTTTTTTATATTCTAAATGTATATTTCTTCCGTCTGTTTTGCACTGTTATCATACTCGTCATTTCATTTGTTGTTAATCTAACGGCAATTTTTCTCGCATCGTACCGTAAATAAAGAAGCAGATGATTAGTTCCATTGATAGATTATAGCACAGCCAGTAGAATATTTCATATAGATATGGTTTTATAGTGCCAATGATTATATTTATCTAATCTGCCTTATATCTATTCCGTGAAAAGTTGCGAATGATTGTACTTGAATCTTAGCTCTTCGATGACTATGGTTTTACATATTCATGCGTAATTTCTATTTCATCCCATTATGCCATTCAATTCAGTGGCTCTCAATGGTTTCGCCCTTTAAAATTCAGAAATGTCATAAATTGAGTGAAATACAAATTATGCATGAATATGTAAAAATATAACCATCAAAGAACAAAGATACCGGTATGATCATTCGCAACTTTTTGTGGAATATATAAAAAGTAGATTAGATAAATATACTCAATGGTACTATAAAATTATATCTATGTAGAATACATTCGAAACGGATCCAAGAAATTCGCTTAAGTGTGTTCTGATGTGACGATAACTTGCCACTAAAATGATAAATTGATGCGTTTAATACGAACACAACGAGATTTAATGAGTGCGTTTTTAGGGTAAGCATCGCTGTTTTTCCTTCACTCTCACTCTCACCCCTTTTGTGGCAACTTGTTTTATCACGTAAAAGCATTCTCTGGTCGCATATGTAATTTGTACTGTGACTGATGATGTGAATGGAGTTCACAACATATCTGTAGCATAATTAAAGCGATGCGTAAGATTCTACTATTCATTATGCTTATCGTCTTGATTTTCATACACGTTTTGTAGAATGAAATTAAGTTTTAGGCATATAGACCTATTAAGAAGTGTTTGTTGGTATTTGCTTGCTATTGAATTGATCTTCTACAATATATTTGACATACGAACGATCAGATAAAACTTATTACATGGTAATTATATCATGGAATAAGGTACAATATTACATATATATAAAAGCAAAATATACAATAGCAGCATGCATTCAAAACAGTTCATTTATTACTGATACGAACATCTTATTTGGGCAGCAGTTAGGACCAGATGGACTACTAGCCAGTAGTCTTGAAGGGTTCTTTTGGTTTGGCCAAGTAAATATGCTGTTATTGTGAACAACTATGTTCATTTATAACATTCAGATATATAGAAAAAAAAACTTGTCAATGAAGATCATAATTGTTTTTGGGAAATCATATTAGCTATCATGAGTACTGTCTTTATTAGTATAACATTTGCTGTACCAGCTTATATCATGTCCATGTTTGATTATTCTTCACCATGTTTAACACACTTAATGAATATTTCTTTACTTCAGAATTTTCCTGTTATAATATACTATAGCGTTTTAATTACTGTACCTGTTCATTGTATAACAGAATCTTATCAGAGATTAATACACTTAAAAGACTTTGATCCAGCTAAAACATTCGAAAAATATTCTTCTATAAACACATTCCACATCCTCAAGATTCTTTATTGAATCGAAACGAGTCGTGGTAGTTACGACGCACTACTGTCAAATTTTATAATCATTCTACTTGGCAATATATTTTTATATTATTCTAATAGAACAGTGTCAATCTTATCTTGAATTGATTCTTTATTGAATAGAATCTGAGAATTAAACCACCTGATGAAATATTGTTAACCTCATAGAAACGCTTCGTAGTAGTTACGATGCATTACTTTCGAATTTTATGATCATTCTATTTGGTAATATATTTTTTATATTATCCTAGTAGAAGAATATCAATCTTATTTTGAATTGAATCTTTATTGAATCGAAGTAGAGAATAAAACTACCCGATGAGATATCGTTAGTCAGATCGAAACACTTCCTGGTAACTAAGACACTCCCACACCCATACCCAAAATAAGAATTCAAAATCAGGTTAAAAGTGTATTATTATAATCGTCCCCTAAATGCTCATTTCTTGTAGAGATGAAGTGCCCTTTTTTTCTTTCAAATTTAGGTTGAATAGTTAATGACCATTTTCAAATAGATTCATCGATTAGTACATAAAATCTTCCACTAATGAGGTTTGCGCTAGTGAAACATTAATTGAAGAACACAGTATACACATGTAAATCAAGAGAGAGAGAACCATGAGTTATTCATCAAAACTTCCAAAAACTGCAAAGAATACAATAGCTGGTTTTGCATTGGCCTCGCGGATCGGCCAATGGGACGTCACATCTGAAATTCGACCTAATATCTGAGTTTCCTGGTCCGAAAACTTATAGCATTCCTGTAGAAAATCGCGAATAAATCTTCTGTGACTTAAAAATTTGACTACCATTTTTGATCGATCAGATTGAGTGTTGTGACAACAGTTAAGGAATTAATACTAGAGGTGTAATAGTTCTGGAATCGTTCCTAACCTATGTACTGTTGGAGCAGTTCTTTTGACAGGAACTGAACTGTTGAGCTGAAACTGTTATAGTTCTAATAGAGACTCTTTTGTTCAGGAAAGAAAAAAAAATACCTGCAACATCGAAAAAATATGTCAATAAGAACACAATTTAATTCTGATTCAAGTACACATAGTTTATTTAAAAAATTAGAACCGCAGTTTGACAAATTTTATTCAACTGCAGATTTGCATCAATACGTTGAGATTGGTGCTGAAGGCATTCAATCTTTGTTATTTAAATTAAAAGAAGAAACAAATTGTTCAGCTGAAAAAATAGCCAACAATGCCATGCGCCAAGCATACACCAAAGAACGATGGTCATATTTATGCAATCAAGAAGTAACTCTTGCGCATATAATTATTGAAATATTATTGAATGGTAAAATTCGACGTGGCCCTATACCAGTCAATGAAAACCAACTTAAATTTCGTGAATCTCTTATAAGAAAAGGTTTAATGCACAGCGATGGTCTACACTTCTCTATTCTAATGTTACCATTTCGTGATCGAAATAAAGCAAAAAATGATGGCTATTTACCGGATTTAGGTGAAGTCCTTTCATTGTTACAACTATGGTCGATTGTTAAAGCGATGATGATTGCAACAGAAAAGTATACTCAAAGGTTAATCAAATCGTTTCGTAAACTATTACAGCCCAGTGTAAAAACAATTACTGATCTTCGTAATACTGTTCAAAATATTTTAATATCAAAATGTCGTTCTACAAGTACAGAAATGGAAACTCAAGAGACTACTTCTATTGATGCATTACGCCAAGAATTGTCTGATGATTATATTGTTTTCGATACTGATAAAGCAGAATTATTGTTACGCGAATTAACTAGTATGAATCAAAGTATTAAATGGTTCATGCAATCAATTGATGAAGCATTCAATGCTACAGTTAAACCAATCCGAATATTTACTGTGCAAGATGCCCGTCGATATCCGTGCTATGATACATTTTTGGATGAGCATCTCAGTTCGTATTCAAATTGTGTAAATGAAATAGCAAAACGATTGGGTATTAGTAGTGAAGTTATTTTAACATCACACGAAAATTTAGAACAACAATGGAAAATTCAGCAACCACAAGAATTAGAAACATTTCTTAGAAAACGAACCGAAATTTATTCAAGTAAATTTGAACAATTTTCAAAACCGTTTTTTGATGCAAAAAATGAATTACTTGCATACCATACACGTGACAGTTTTCTAACTAAAGTCCATCAATTATCATTAAATGAAAATATACCAGACATGATTGAACCAATATTGCACAGTCGTTATCATCCAGAATTAGCTCCAGCTCAACTTAAGCCTGAAGATGAATTAAAAGTTTTCGCTCAAATCTATGAATCGCAAGAAGAAACTGAACAACTGCGACAAAATATTTTATTTTCAAGTATAATAAATGCCATCAAATACATTTGCGCGTATGAATCAAATACAGAAGCAAAAAATAAATATGGTTTAGATGATATGAAGTTTTTCTTACCAGGTTCTATACGATTAAGTATTCATAATAAATCTGCCGATTGTGGACAATTTTTACTTCGGGTTGGACCGAATTTGCATCGACAACCATGGAATGGAACAGCGGGTATCAAACCAAGTTCTCCAAGTTCAAAATATACATTATCATTCGAAATTCGTATGAGTTTGGAATATAAAATTGAAAATTATGTTCCAATATTTATTAGGAAACAAGAAGAAGAAACGAATAATGATATTTATCCTTTATTTCTTTCTCAATTGTCACGTATCAAACAGCCAATTTTATGGATACATTTTGACTTAATTCAGCAATATTTATCCAATGACTATCTTAACAATAACGGTAGTTATCATGAACGTATTGTAAGTAGCATATTTGCAAAACACAAGAAAATTCGATTGGTTTAGTTCACCTGATAAAGCTTCAAATCAGCCTACTTTTTATTTGTTCTTCAAGAGATCTTGAGGGTATGACTGTTGGTTTTCTGTTAACTAAAGCATACAGTCACAGTCACACCCATGCTTTTTCTTTATGTAATTGAATTTCAAGTTTTCTAATATAATTAACATTATTAAGAAGCCAATTCAAATAAAGAAATTGTGATTCATTACAAATAGAACATTTTAATGCAAAAACTTCTAATTTTGGTACCTTTCTTATAAATAATTTCCTTTAAATAAAAATAAAATTATTAATTGTGAGAGAGTTTTAAACAAATAGTATTTATTTGAAATGTTATGAAGAAAAATAAATAGTAAGTACTTCATGTGGCACTTGAGTGAAATTAGTTTCGATTCTCTTCCTTCACTTGAGGGTGTGGATGTAACTCTGAGTGAGACTGAAATATATCAGGAATACTGGGACGGCTCTGTTACACAGTAAAAATTGGTTGAAAACGTCTCGAGAATCTTCTCTAATGGGCTTTCACAGGCAGGAACTGTCGCATTCACACGCCGGTGGCCCTTATTGCAGCCAGCGGCATTCGATAGAGCAGTAAATTCTCCATCCAATACAGTCGATCAGAGTTAACACAATAAAAAGAGCGAATTGGGGTTGGAGTTACTCGAATATGGTGCTTATTATGCCTAGTTATGCTCATGTGACTTGAAAAATGCATTGAAAATTTTTCTTTTATATTGGATTATTAGTGAGGCAAGGCTGATTTTCAGCTTTCTCTCATCCATATCTGAAGTAAATATTCTTTCACTGCATCCACTTCTGAGGTTACAATATATGTCTAAAAGTTAAGTGAATTCTTTTATGCTAATTAGCATGCAAGTAAGAGATGAGGTTTAATTTTCATCTTACTTTATTAAGCCAATTTCCATTTGGTATTATCGAACTTTGAACATTGGAACCGGAGAATTGAGAATGACATTCTAAACATTCACAATAGATCGGCAATTGCTCGAGATTAAGTACATGTTCAATAGATCTTCAAGAAAACATGCATAATTGAGGTGAATCTTTAAACAGCGTAAAGTTTAACAATAAAATTGAGGTCCACCTGAAATTGTGTTTAATCGAAAATGAAAAGGCGATTTAAAACATTGATGAATACCATCGTCTGAGTCACTAATATCATGTGTAAGATAAGTCAGTTGGCATTTTTCCGAGAATATTTGACATAAAAATTGTTTAAACATATCTAGTGCTTCCGTGATAATAATAAAAATTTCAATATTTATTTCTATCATCAACATTTTAAATAAGTTTTTTTATTCAAATAAATGTTGACGCATTTAACAACTCAGAAAAGATCCGTAATCAGTGTTTTATTCAGATTGTCTTTTCTAAGTCAATAATTTTCCATTTCAAAGGAACAAAAGTCTACTTTTACGAAAGAAATACAATCCGATCTCCAAATCCTCATGTGAACTAAGAAACTTTTCCTAATCATAGCCCTATTCCAGAGCTAGAACTGGTACACAGGATAATCTCGCTAATCGCATAGTAGCCAGCATAACAATCGGTTTTTAGAATGTTTTTCATGAAGCAATGGTGCAACATTACTCTGCAAGATAAAGCATCAGAAGAATCGAAAGTCCTTAAGATTGATATGATACAGTTTGGATTTTTGTATCGTTCTATCATAATTCAAAAGTTGGAGTAATACTACATCCAGACCTGAACCAACTTGTGAATATCTAGTTCTCACTCTTATATGTTTAGAGAAAAGATATATAATGCACAAACCAAGAATATATACATTGACTGTCTTTATTATCAATATTTGAAGAGCTTCCTCTTCCATAATAAAGCGTTAGCGGCATTTCACTTAATTGATGTTCGATAAGTAAAGATAATATTTCAATTAATGGTTTAAATAATAAACATTGTGCTATTTAAAGTGATTTAAGATTAGGAAAATAAATCTTGATAAATAAAATCGAACAAAATTGAATTATTTCCATCAAAATGAATATATGTTTAATATCGGATAAAACAAATGGTGAATTTAATATTAATGGTAATAGTATAGAAGAAAACGTTTTATATGATAAACCCGGTTGATTAAAAATATTTTTTTTTTCATCCATTGAAAATGCTGAACCTATAATAGAAAATCGATACGTTGATTTAATGACCAAAACGACATTAATATTTCATCCCACGATAAGCAAGAAAATATATTATGAAATATTTCAAATTAGCGTATCATATTATCCGAAAATAAAATGATTTTCTTTTATTTACTTCATGGCAGATCAATTCATATGAAATAAAACCTTATACGAAACAAGTGAAAGTGAAGTAAAGCTTCGTCGAAGATTCTACTGATAAAAAGTTGGGTGTCTAGGGGTGCTAGAACTATTTTAATATTTAAATACTTATGTTCTATTTTGGTGATCATGAAAATTGCTTCTTTAGTCTGTCGTAGAATAATGCGACTATGTCTTAAACTATCGACTTGTTCTCATATACAACAGTAATTGCTAGTTAATAATGTTTCAACAAACCTGTCAGTTTGGCTAAGTGGTTGGCACGATCGAAATGATTCAGCTGAAATTGCAATCAATACTTTGAAATATGCTTATTAGTTTACTCTCTTTTTACTATTAGAAATCTTAAGTCGCATGCACTCCATGGAACCAGAAGAAATAAAATACTAGTTTTATAGTTTTCAACTTAGGATGGTATTAAATATAAATAAAAAGCGCATCTAACTGATCATGATCAGTTAGATGCATATGCTATTTTTAGTATGTTAGTAGCTAGAGATTTTCTTCCTATAGAGTGATTCAATCAGACATAATTGACGATAGAAAAGTAACAACAAATTTGTCATAAACTATATCGAATTCTTCAGTACTATTCACTTTCAGTTTTTCGATGCCATGAAGAATCAAAAATAGATTTGATATGCAATTCAGATTTATCCTTGTGAGATTGCGTTGGCAGATCACAATGTAAACAGAACCAAAAAGAAACGCAATTGATTTTTGCTGAATGTTCCATTCAGTCTGCGCTTTTGTTAAGCAACAACATCAATGGCAAGTCTCATGAGAGTTTTATGGCTCAGTAGTGATGCAACTTCGAATATGCCAAAACAACTCCGTAAAATTATACCTGATTTAGGTACTCATTCTAATTTAGACGATTGTGTCGATAATATTTGTTCAATATCATCTATACCAAACAGTATAATATTGGTTGTTTCAAGTTCATTTAGTAAACAAACAGCAGAATTAATCGATTATCTGCCGCAATTACGTGCCATTTATATATATTGTTGTGACACAAGTGAATATGTCACATGGGCGGCTCAATATAGTAAAATTGGATTCGATCGAGTATTGAATCAAGAGAAAGATCTAATTATGCGACTTACTAGTGAACTACAAGAAACAACGATACCGGTAAAAGATGCTAAATATTTTTCTCATCAAAGTGTTATCTGTTAAAGAATCGCTTATTAAATAAAATGAAATAAGTTGAAACCATTCCCATCATTAATGAGAATAGTCACATTTATCATTGTTTTCAATCGAAGAGAATTTGTAGTACTTCTAACAGAGTTGCCAGCCGTACCCCATTTGAGCATTTTGTACCTCAAAAAAATTGTACCTCTGAGGTACGCATTTTGTACCTCATCTGCATTTTTCAATGTTACGACTACCATCATCCATATTTTGGTTGAAACTAAGAAAATTTCGGTCTCTTTATCCGACATTTACTATTGATAAAGATGTGAAGCGTCAATTATATTGGTTGGCTGCTAATGGTCATGTTTATGAAGTATTCAACAATGACATATGCAACGAGTCTCATGATGAAAATAATCTCATTCACAAAGCGACGACCAAAAATCATGAAAGAGAAGTGGAATTTCGGTCTGATCAGTTTTGGGCTTTTCTTCTTGTAAAGTCAAAACCAATGTGTATTGAAATGTACAAAATTATTTCTTATGTGTACTCAATTCCTTGCTCGAATGCATTTGTTGAAGGCGGTTTTAATCAAAGAAAAAGCGCATGGACAGCCAGTCGCAATTTGACAGTGAATGAAACGATAGCTGTTGAATTGAAAATCAGATTTAATAGTACTATGACATGTGAAGATTTTTCTCTTTTGCTCAAACACAATCGCAACTGATAAAGCGTGACAAAAGGCAACAAAAATACAGTTTCGAAAAAAAAGCGTGCAACAGTTAGTGTAAATATAAATCGAGAAGGTTCGCTTTGGGTAAGCATTGTTTTATTATGATTGAATTGAATATATGTATGACAAAATGAAATTTTATTGTGAACATATTTATTAGAAAATAATGATTTCAATTTGAAAGCTAGAGTTTATAGTAAAACGAAAAACTGAGAATGTCCCTTCCTGATTGAAAATAGTTTTCGAAATTGATTTCCGCAGCCGATGACCAGTGTGAAAAATGCAAACTGCGTACCTCACGAATGTACCCCATATACAACTGAGTTGTACCTAGCGTGTACCCCATTCCGAAATCAGTGCGCCCCATTTGGGACCGGAATAGCTGGGAACCCTGACTTTTAAATATATATATAACAATTGCATTTCACAATATTGAAGCAAAATACGTTTGACAATAAAATTTATTTTATTCAGATATCTTCATCCAGTATGAACAGTAATGAAACTCAGATGGCCCGGAAAGATGAAAGAGTTGTATCTAGTTTATTTGCTAGAAGTTTAGAAAATAATTCAACACGTGATTTAACCGAAGAAAAAATGACTTTTATTTGGCTTCAAATATTGACCAATGTACTTATTTATATGCCTAAATTAGAAGAAGATGCACAAAATGAAATGATTGTTCTATGTCGTCAAGAAAACAAAAATGATCAAGCACAGCTGAAATTAATTGAAGAATTTTTCAATGAATATAAACTGAGCGAAGCAATACGTTGGTATACTCAAAATACATGTTTCTATAAATTGCTTAACCAAGCATTAAGAACACAAAACTATGATATTATTTTCAAATTTCGATCATTGATTAGTGATGTTTATCGACAAATAAATGATTTGTTTACACCTATAATCGACAAGTTACGTTCATTTCGCGTATATCGCGGTCAAAATAAGTCTATATCTGAACTGGAAACACTACGTGGTAATGTAGGAGGAGTTATTTCAACGAATAGTTTTGTATCAACTTCAAGGGAAGAAAATTATGCACTATGTTTTATTCAAGGTGCAGTGCCAGAACCAGGATTTGCCATCGTTCTATTTGAAATGGCAATAGATACGCGGATCGCAAAGATAGCAGATACACCTTTTGCAAATATTCAAGATCATAGCTACATTCCTGATGAAGAAGAAATTTTATTGTCTATGGGTACAATATTTCGAATTGACTCAATCGAACGAGAACAATTAGATGCATCGAATATATGGCGCATCAAAACAACTATGTGCACCATCAATGATGATCCACAAGTAAACACATTTATAAAAATTCTATGCCGAGGTTAAAGATGCAAATAAAAACGAAACTGTCATAAACGACTATAATTAGTAATGAAAATTTCAATTGTTAATATAATAGTTAACATTTTTAGCTATTTCCTTATCGAATCAGTTTATAGCAAGATGGATACTCTTCTCCATATAAATAAACATGTTGCAACTTTATTTTTATTTTGTTTTTCATATTTAGATTAAGATGTTGATTGATTATGCCAAGAATAGTGTATGCTCTCGTGAAACGATGACTTTCTTCACTTATGGAAAGTTTCTTGCCTACATGTCCCGTTATGATAGTTCAGTTGTGTATTATCTTCAACTACTGAATCAATTGCCACCTTATCATATCGATTTGCCAACGATCCACAATGACCTAGCGTATGCTTATCGTGAATCAAAATGTTTTTCAGATGCTCTCAAACACTTCAATATTGCAATCGCGTTGAAGGAAAAGCAAATATCCCGTGACGATGTCACTCTTGCGGAGACCTACAGTGATCTTGGATGGTTGTTAACGGCAATGAATAATTTAACTAAGTCTCTCAAATTGCATCAGAAAGCTATAGCCATTCGAGGGAAGTATTTGGGCGATAATCATATAGATACAGCTATGTCATATGAATGTCTTGGTATTTACTATTTGAAAATAAACGATTTCGACGTAGCTCTTTTCTATCTTCAAGAAGCTCTGACCATCCGACAACGTTGTTTACCTGCTCTTCATCCTTATCTAGCTATGTCTTACTCATCATTTGGTGCCTATTTCAATATTCGCAAGGATCACGTAGAGGCATTAAAAATGTACGAGCAAGCAATTTCAATCTACAAGAATTCGATGCCACCAACTCACAGCATTCTTGCAGAAACATATATAAGCCTTGGAGATACCTATTTGATCACTAATCAATTGGAAAAAGCTATCAAACATCTAAAATCTGCTTTGATCATCTATCGAAAGAGCAACTTTCGTAATCAAGCAATAGTTCATAAAATTCTCGGTTTTGCTTATTACAAACTACGCGATTACAAACAAGCATTCGTGTCTTATGAGAACGCATTACAGTTAGCGCGAGAAGAGAAAAACAATACACTAGCAACGTCAGTTGAAAACAGCATAAGAAACCTCCATGTTAGAGAGTTAGCTGAATTCCAGAACTATAATATAATGTAAAAATCTGTACATGTTCGCGTTCAGTTAAAGATTAGTTTATATCTTAATCAATTAATAACTGTTGATTTTGATATTGAAAATAAAGCGAATATAAAACAAATTACTAAAATTTGATGAGTTTCAAAATTTACAACACGATCGTTCATAATTCGGTGTAAGAAAGCTACATTATTATGCTTGTTTGTTAAAGTTATGGACTTTCCATTGTGCACCAATCCAGAACAAATAGATATTGAAACTGGACGAAATATACATTGAAAGCGACAATATAAAAAAAAAGATATGTGAGAGTTATGTCAAATACCAAAAACGACTCGAAATCATAATTACAATTAGTTGCTGGATTCATCAGCCGTTTACATGGCTGTGTATGGGTGCAATCTCTTAACCCGAGCCTACATCCAGTGTTTTATCTAGGTTTCATTTTTCGGGTGGGCGGTTGAAATTTTTGGAGGGGCTGCTGACTAGAAAATTTGTTATCACATAGTAACGGGTGGCTCATAAAGAATGGCGGTCTCATTACTTACTCAATATCTTTTTTGCTCTTTATTGATTTGAACTGAACATTTTCCCAAAAGATTGAGCATTCAATTCTCTACAAACTCACGTGTAAAAGAGTTTTTAAACTACAAAATGGCTAACGTAAGTACTAAAACGAAGAAAAAAGCTCGAAAAATCTTCAACTTTCAAGCACTAAACCCGTTTTTTTTGAGAATTTGCTTTCCATGTGAGGATCTACAAAAATACTCAGTCTACCATGTTAAAGAGCATTAGATTCTGGGCAAGATTTATGTCTTCGAATTTTTTTTCATTACAAAATGTGTAAAAAACTCTGCATCAATTTGTTCGCTTTTTCTAAAAAACACAACTGTCATGTCATGTTTTTGATGCTTGCACTAAAACGCATGCCATTCACTTAAAAAGTGTTATTTTTTGACGATTTCTTTTTCTTTGAAAGCCAACATACTCGACTACAGCCCTGTACACGTGTTCGAGTGATGCAAAGTTTCGTTTGCAGTAGACTTTCTTGTAAACCGAAATTGAGGCGTTATGGATGAGTTTTCAGAAAATATCGATTTAATAGGCGAAGACCACTTTTAAAGAAATGTTTTTCAAAGCTATCGAAAAGAACGTACTTGAAAATACCAGAAAATGTTTCTCCCGTAGCTTAAGCCTGCGTATAAATTATCGAAACATACTTGAAATGTTAATGTACATTGAGCTTGAAAGTTGGAGATTTTTTAACCTTTTTTCTTCGTTTTAGTACTTAACCGTTTTGTAGTTTTAAAAAATCTTTTACACATGAGTTTATAGAGAATTGAATGCTCAATCTTTTGGGAAAATGTTCAGTTCAAATCAATGAAGAGCAAAAACGATATTGAGTAAATAATGAGACCACCATTGTTTATGGGCCACCCGTTACTTTTATGAAATCAACTGTTTATTTTCGAGTGGGCGCTGCCCACCCTGCCCATACAGTAGATAAATCACTGCCTACATCACCACCCAACACCCACACCCACCTAATTTATCATTTTTCATCGATATAGACAATTCACCTCCGAATAGCCCTGATATAAATCCGCTGGATTGTTGTATTTGGGACGAGTTTGCGAGGGTTATCAACTAGGATCTTGTGATATCTAAGATGACTCTTATCAATGAACGGAAACTTGGTGTGAAGAAAATCCGCCCAGAAGTAGTTTTTGAAAGTTATGCATCTAGGACCAATCGTTTGTATCAATTGAAACAAGTTAATGGCAATTGTTTAAATAAATAAATTTGGGCTAGTTTTGTCGAGAAAAAGATTCTCTATCAAACAAAAAACTAAGCAAAGAAAAATGTAAAAAATTGATTGAGATATTGAAAAAATAGTAAAACCTTCATTATTTATGGGCCACCCTCTGGATACTGATAATTGCGTTCATCTGACATAGTCTTTGTTCTTTTCCTCAAAATAAAATGCTTTTTCAATAGTACTATGCATATTTTTGCGTCCAAATATGTTATGCTTTTTTTCATTAATACCTCTTGTAATGATTGTTCTATCGTCAATTGCTTGAAGAGAATAAGTACCGAAGTGAACTGATGGGATATTTTCTAATTTTAATTCATCCATATTCATAGTTTTAATATGATGGTATGGTAAATATTGAAGTAAAGTAATCTTATCATATGCGGACAGTGTATGGGGTGATGAATAAATTTCAATATAAATTGGTATGTTGGATGGTATACGTATAAACTGCCTCTTGACCCTAACAAGAAGTACGAAACAGTAGCCGACAGTACAGAAGCAGGGTTGCCAACTGTACCCCATTTGGACTTTTCCCTTTACACTATACATATCAATCATCTTTCGATATAAATCAATGACATTTTTGGCTTTAACTAGCGTTTTTCTTGTGGAGATAAAAGTGTTAATCATATTAGCCGGCTGCCCAAGGAGGCAAAAATTTGGAAAAACGCGTTTAAACGCTCAAAATGGAACCATGATTGTGAGCCATTAGCGCTCATTAAAAAACCGCAAGAAGCACATTTTATGTTCAAAATTTGCACTTTCAGAGCGTAAAAAAAGACGGGAAAATTCAGTTTTCAGCGGTAAAGCGCACTTTTATTCTATAATGTAAAAACAATGCATTTTAGCACTCAAAAAAATGGAGTTTTCCTCCGGCTTCACGTTCTAAAAATAAAAGTTTTGAATACATAATGCCTTTTTTGCTGGTTTTAATGAGCGCTAATGGCCCACAATGGCCGTCCGAGTTTGAACGTTTAAACGTGCTTTTCCAAATTTTTGTCTGCTTCGGTGGTGATTCAGTCATATGAAGCACGCATGGACACCAAGTCGAAACTCGATGTCAACTGAGACAATTGCGGCTGAATGAAAAGTTAGGTTGAAGTTGAATACTAAGCTGAAATATGAAGATTATTATTTATTTGTACAGTCGCAATCAGAAATGGTCAAACTTGCCAAAAGCAAATAGCAATACCGGCATGAAAAAAAGATGTGCGGCAGTTAATGTGAATACAGAGCGTTTTTTCTAATTAAACATTTTTGTTTTATCTTTTGAACAGAAATATGTTGAAAACAACAATAACTGCGAACTCTTTTGTTTGAAAACAAGGATTCCAAATCATGTCTTACACATAGGCAGTTGAATGTGATCTTTCTTTCGCTAAAGATGCTATTGCCAGCCGTTTCATGACGTCAATTTTTTGTCTTGTTAAAAACACTTTGTACCCCACGAGCGTACCCCATTAGGAAAATAATTGTACCCCATGTGTACCCCATTCGGGACCTTAACAGTTGGCAACCCTGGGGTGTATTTCCCAATGGGATATTCACACCAGCCCCACATGCATACCCATAATTTAAGTCAACCCAGACCTAATCAATTGAGCACAAGCCAAGTTTAGTCCAGTTTCGAACCGGTTTAACTTCTTTGAAGAAATTTTTTTATATTCCTCATTTGATTTAAATATTAAACCATACGAATCCACAAATATAAAAGTTTCCTCGTACCCATTCAGCTAAAGAGTCGACTTGATTTGGTCAAGAAAACTTTAAGGTGGAAGTTCACCGACGGAAGAACCTTTTCAGGTGTCTCCCACGGATTTCCATGAAACTTTGCCTGAAGATACTACATAATACCCTAGTAAAAATTTTTAAAAGGTTTAAGTGCGAATCGCTCCATTCAAAAGTTATGATTGTCATAATATTTTCTTTTATAAAGAAAAATATAGAATATTATGAGACACTTCGTGAATCTGTCAAGTATCTGAGGCATTCGATAAAATCTTTCTTAAAGTTCTTGTTCTCCTTCAATACTTTAATTTCGGGAATTGAAAAACACAAAATTTTAATTTGCATTTACTAACTTTTCGTTTGAAAATTTAGTGAATAGCACTTTTAGGCAACGTTACACCCTTTAGCGAAGAAGGCAAGAAAAACGTCCCATAAAAGATCTCCCAAATTCAGTATCAACACATCACACACACATCCACATCCACTGACACTCATACCCTTAGCTAACTTACCAAAGTAGAAATTCCGTCTTTGATTCTATGAATACATCGAAACTATTTTCTCAAAAAACCCCAACGTACGACTGCGTCATCTACAGTTGGTGCAGTAAGAAGACTCGCAGAAAAATTACCAAGTATCTCGTCCATTTGAAAGAACGTACAACGGCACGCGAATTAAATGAATATAAAACATATCAGTTCTGTGTTTTTTATCCACTTTTATTATAGAATATTAATCAAACCTGTAGCTGTACTGAATTTGTAGAAAAATGTGGCGTAAGTGTTTATTTTCGAGTCATTCTGTCGGGAGGCACCGAAAAAAGCTCTCCACCATCTGTATGGCTGCATTACATAATGAGCAACAAGATGACTATGAACAACGGCGTAGTTTGAAGCAACAATACCGCCAATGACAATCGTTCCAGATGGTGTCAATGGAGACAAGAATCCTTCTGATTTCGTTTCTTCGATCTTAACAACAACACCAGGAAGTACATTGATTCCGTCGACAATTTGTAACAAATCACCGATACGAACACGTGATGCATGAATGGGATATTGATTCTCAAAAAGAAATATCAGATGATAGAAGGAAATTTCAATGCTGACGGTCTTGTTTGCCTGCGCATTGAAAGCAGTTAAACGAAGAAATGTATACATGCCAGTTCTATGTGCATGAATAAAGTCAAAGATCGGCTCGAATGAAAGCGTATTACCACCATTCAACACAAGTACCTCTTCACCTATCTTGACATCAGCAAGCTCCTTTTGATAACCATTTTTTGTGATCACCTTGCTTCGTCCACTAAAGCATGTTTCTTTTGTATCAGTTCGGCAGCTCCATCCCGCACAATACATGCCATTATCTGATGGTTGATTGCAGGTACATTTACTGTCGTAGTATACAGTGGTGTCCGCCGAAAATACAGAAGGACAGAGAAGTAGTAGAGAAAAATAAAACCAAAGCAACAAATTGAAATTCGAGTGAAAGCTTGGAATTTGATTCATCGTGTTAGCGAACAAGATTCATTCTATTTCTCTCACCTTTTATACTTTTTGTCTTACTATCTTGCCAACAAGTATTATTATCACACAAGCGACTTGTTTTAAATAACGTCACATTTTTAGTGTTTTAACTGTTATCTAAAAGGGTAAATAAGAATGAAGTGTTTCTACCCAAGTGAGCAAAAAAATAGGGAGGACGGGTGACATGACTAGTTCAAAAAGTCTGCTATACCCGTCAAGTCTAGTCTAATACGTCTTCGATATCTATTGTGACTAGTCCGTATGTTCTTTCAGCCGTCTAGACTAGTCCAAGATATTCCAGAGCATTATGTTCTGACTGGTCCGTATGTCATTTTACCCGTCTAGACTGGTCTGTTTACTCATTTACTCCCACCTGGACTAACCCATAGCAGGGAAAAATATTGTAAAAAAGGGAGAAGAAAGTTAGATTACAACATTAGAAACACTTATAATACTATTAAAAATCAAACGGGCGTCTTGACGGCAGTCCATAATACAGTAAGCCTTATGTCTATGTATATATTCTAAAATGCAAATGGGTGTATTTCGTATACCATGCGTGCAGAAATCACTTGATGGAAACTGATTCTCACTACCCGAAAATGCCTTTAATGGTAGCTAGAAGGACTGTTCCTAGGCT